TGTGGGGGGGGGCACAGCATCCCCATCACCCCCCCCTCACCTGGATCTGCAGGGTGGGGAGAGCCAAGATGGGGTGGTGACACCCCAAAACACCTCAGAGGGCTGGTGGGACCCCAAAACACCTCAGTGGGTTGGTAGGAACCCCAAAGCCCCTCATCCCCCCCCACTTGCCCCGCTGTGGAGGACGGGGGCAGCCAAAACAGGGTGGGGAGACCCCATAAACACCCCCAAACCTCCCCCGCCCAGCCCACCCACCCCGGGACGGGGTCCTACCGGACACGGAGACCCTCATGACGGCCTCCAGCGGGCGGTTGTTGTCCAGGGCGGGGCTGAGCCGCAGCTCCCCGCTCTGGGGGTCCAGCAGCAGCAGGTTGAGCTCGTTGCCCTGCTCGAAGGCGTAGGTGAGGCGGTCGGACACGTCGGGGTCGTGGGCCGGGATGCGGCCGATGACGCCGCCGGGGAAGCTCCCGGAGCGGTTGGTGATGTAGTTGTTGAAGAGGATCTCGAAGTTCTTCAGCTGGGGGCTGTTGTCGTTGGCGTCGCGCAGCCGCACGTGCACGGTGGCCCGGCTGACCAGCGGCGCCGACGTGGCCTGCACCACCATCACGTACTCGGCCTTGGCCTCGTAGTCCAGGTCGGCCAGCGCCGTGAGCTCCCCGGAGAAGATGTCCAGCTGGAAGACCTCCGGGATGTTGCCCTCCACGATCTGGTACATGATCTGGGCGTTGGTGCCCTCGTCGGGGTCGGTGGCCGTGATCCGGGCCACCACCAGCCCGATGGGGCTGTTCTCCTCCACGAAGATGTCGAACTCGTCGCGCTCGAAGACGGGCGGGTTGTCGTTGACGTCCAGCACCGTCACCTGGATCTCCACTGGCGTGCGCCGCGCCGGCAGCCCCTTGTCCACGGCGAAGGCCCGCAGGGAGTAGAGCGGCACGTTCTCCCGGTCCAGGCGGCGCAGGGTGCGGACGATGCCCGAGGTGGACTCGATGATGAAGTCGCCGTCGCCGTCGTCGCCCCCCTGGAAGGTGTAGAAGACCCTGCCGTTGAGGCCGGAGTCACGGTCGGTGGCGGAGACCTGCAGGACGCTGGTGAAGGCGGGGACGTCCTCGTAGACGGAGCCCTGGTAGGAGTGGCGGAGGAACTGGGGCGCGTTGTCGTTGACGTCGCTCACCAGGATCTCCAGGTAGGTGGTGTCGGATTTCTGGGGGATGCCGTTGTCCCGCGCCGTGATGGCCAAGGTGTAGGACACCTGGTCCTCGTAGTCCAGCTCCATCTGCGTGGTGACGGCGCCGGTGTCGGCGGCGATGCGGAACTGGGGGATGCTGTCCTCCATCAGGTAGGTGATGCGGGCGTTCTCGCCGGTGTCCTCGTCGGTGGCGCTGATCACCACCACCGTGGTGCCCACCGGCCGGTCCTCGTTGACATTGACGGTGTAGTGGGAGCTCTGGAACACGGGCCGGTGGGTGTTGGCGTCGGTGACGTTGACGACCACCAGGGCGGTGTCCTGGCGGGTGCCGTCGGACGCGGCCACGGTGAGCAGGTACTGCCGCTCCAGCTTGTAGTCCAGGGGCAGGGCGAGTGAGATGAGTCCCCCGCCGCTCTGGCTGGTGATGGAGAAGCGGTTGCGGGTGTTGCCGCCCGAGATCTGGTAGGTGATGACGCTGTTGGCGTCGCGGTCGACGGCGGACACGGTGAGGACGCTCGTCCCCACCGCCGCGTCCTCATTGAGGCGGGCGCCGTACTCCCTGCGGGTGAACTCGGGGCTGTTGTCATTGACGTCCAGGACGGTGACGCTGACACTGGCCGTGGAGGCCATGGGGGGCGTGCCCTGGTCCTGCGCCTCCACGCTGAAGCTGTAGAAGTCCACGGCCTCCCGGTCCAGCTCGGAGGCCACCACGATCCAGCCGGTGCCGTTGTTGATGGCGAAGGGGAAGCCGGCGCCGGTGTCCAACAGGGTGTAAACCAGGCGGCCATTGTCCCCCGAGTCGGCGTCGATGGCCTGCACGTGGATGACGGAGTAGCCCACGGGCACGTTCTCCAGCACGGTGGCCTGAAAGGGCGTGCTGACAAAGATGGGGGCGTTGTCGTTGACGTCCAGCACCTGCACGGTGACCAGGCCGCTGATGTTGGACAGGGGCGGGCGGCCGCCGTCCTGCGCCCGGATGCGCAGCGTGAACTCCTTGGTGACCTCGAAGTCCAGGGGGGTGACGACGTCCAGGGCGCCCGTCTGGGCGTCGATGTAGAAGTGGCCGCGGGTGTTGCCGCTGACGATGCTGTAGTGCACCAGGGCGTTGCTGCCCTTGTCGCGGTCGGTGGCCGTCACCCGCAGCACGGCCGCGTTGGGCGCCACGTCCTCGGGCACCTGCGCCACGTAGCGCCGCTCGCTGAACTGTGGCGCGTTGTCGTTGTCGTCCTCCACGGCGATGCGCACGGTGGCCGTGGCGCTGCGGGGCTCCTGGCCCTGGTCAGCCGCCTCCACCAGCAGCTCGAAGGCCTCCACGGCCTCCCGGTCCACGGGGCCGCGCGTGCGGATCACGCCGGAGCGGGGGTCGATCTCGAAGACCTCGTTGGCGCCGCCGGCGTTGAGGAGCCGGTAGAGCACGTTGGCGTTGGGCCCGGCGTCGCCATCGGTGGCCCGCACGGTCAGCACCTCGTAGCCCACCTCCAGGTTCTCCCGCACGCTCTCGCGGTACTCGGGCTGCTCGAAGGCCGGGTCGTGGTCGTTGGCGTCGCTCACGGTGACGGTGAGCGTGGCCATGGCGCTGCGCCGCGGCGTGCCGTGGTCGGCCGCCGTCACGCGGAACACGTGGGTGCTCTTGCTCTCGCGGTCCAGCGGCGCCGCCGTGGTGACGGCGCCGGTCACGGGGTCCACGGCGAACAGGGCGTCGGAGCGGCTGTCGAAGAGCGCGGCCATCGAGTAGAGCAGCCGCCCCGCCTCGCCCTCGTCGGGGTCCTGTGCCGTCACCCGCGTCACCGGCGTCCCCGCCGGCCGGTTCTCCTCCACCGTGGCCTGGTAGCTGGAGGGCTGGAACTGCGGCGCCGTGTTGGGGCTCCGGCGGGGGCGGAGCATGGGGGGTCGGGGGGCTTCCATAGGCTGGGGGTCCCCAGTGTCCCCGGAGGCCGTCGTGTCCCCTGTGCTGCTGGTGTCCCTGGTGTGCCCAGTATTCCCAGTGTTCCTGGTGTCCCTAGGGATTTTGGTGTCCCCAGTGTGTCCAGTATTCCCAGTGTTCCCGGGGACTTCCCTGGTGCTCTCAGTGTCCCTGGGGACTTTCCCAGGCTCCCCATTATATCCAGTGTCCCTGCTGCTCCTGGGGACTTTCCCGGTGCTTCCAGTGTCTCTCCCAGTCTCCCCAGTGTGCCCAGTATTCCTGCTGTCCCTGAGGACTGGGGTGCTCCCAGTGCCCCCAGCCCCCCCAGTGCTCAGCCCAGCCCCGGTGTTCCCGGTGTGTCCGGTATCCCCGGCGCTCCCGCTGTCCCTGGGGCCATGGGTGCTCCCGGTGCCTCCAGTTCCTCCGGTATCCCCGGTGCCTGCAGGAGCGTCCCTGGCGCCTGCAGCGTCCCCAGCGCCTCCAGGGCTCCTGCTGGCTCCGGCGTTCCCGGCGGCTTCAGTGACGCCGGTGCTGGCGGTGCCTCTGACGCCCGCGGTGCCGCCGGTGCTTCGGGACCCCCCAACGCCGCTGCCGCCGCCGCCGGTGCCCGGTGCGGTCCCATGGCCGGGTGCGGGCCCGGCGCCGCCGCCGCTGTCCCCGGTGCTCGGCGGGGGCCGCGCAGAGCCGCCGCTGTCCCCGGTGCCGCCGGAGCCGCCGCTGTCCCCGGTGCCGCCGCGGCGGGGCTGGAGCGGTGCCGGGAGAGCGCCGGGAAGGCGGGGGCGGATCCCGGTGCCCCTCCCGCTGCCGATGCCGGTGCTGGTCCCGGTGGAGGAGCCGATGCCGGTTCCGGTGGCGCTCCCGGAGCCAGCGGCGATGCCGGTACCGGTGCCGCTCCCGCTGCCGGTGGCGGAGCCGGTGCCGGTGGCGGAGCCGATGCCGGTGGCGCTCCCGGTGCCGGTGTCGATGCCGGTGTCGGCGGCGATGCCGGCGGCGATGGCGATGCCGGTGTTGGGTCCCGGTGCGGGCGGCGGCAGCAGCAGCAGCAGCAGCAGCGGGAGCAGCGGCAGCGCGGCCCGGCGGGCGGGCGGAGGGCCCATGGCCGCTGCCCCCCCCGTGCCCCCCCGGTGCCGGTGCCGGTGCCCGCAGCGCCCCGCGCCGCCGCCTGCGCCCCGCCCGCGCCCGCGCGCGCCCGCCGGGGCGGGGCCGCCGCTGCACCGGCCCCGCCGCGCTTAAAGGAGCCGCCG